AATTTTTATATATATATATATATATATATATATATATATATATATATGTATAATATAAAATATATTCGAATAATATATATATACATATATTCGAATATCACAAAAACTGAAACTAGAACTAACAACAAGAATTTAATGTATCTTATTACCGAATGGTATGATGTATCAATAATTTGGTCTAAAAGCCGATAAAAAATAGACCTATTATGATAAGAAGTAAAAATTGGAGATAAAAATTTTAGAATATGAACACGCCGTTTACATTGTTAAATTTATAATATCAAATTGCACTCAATTTGAATTGGTTTTAATCATTTTGTAAATGATCTCCGCTCTTATTCAGTATGTCGTTAATTTAATTAAAGCAATGAAGTTAAACAATTTAACTCAAGTAACTGTATTGAATTTAGTTTATTATTTACTAAGAGTATACGTTAATACAGATGTGTTTACTTTGAAACTATAATAACAACAGAAATTAATTGATTCACATTTTGACACATATAGAAGTCGAAAATAATAAAATGTTATTTATCTGAAGGTATTCGATTGTCATTGTTCCTTTAATATTTAACAGCAGATTTTATCATTTCTTTTGCAAAAATCACGGGAAAAATAATCTGTGACAGATCAACAATTTCGATATACCAACAGATAGTATCGATCCTCGAATGTCTCTTCTCCTTTAGTGCCGTTACCTCCGTATAGAAAATAGAAAAAACCGTACGCGTAAAAAAAAAACTTTATTTCTCTCAAATAATAACCGAAACGCAGCGACAATAGTTCTGCCTGGGTTATGTTGTATTGACGGCTGATATTGTACAATATTTCTCTTTATATTTCCGGAATGAGTTGAATGCCGTTTCTTTCGAAGTGCGGATAGAAGTACCACACACATTCGTTCGTTTGTGGCAAAAAAAAAAGGAGAAAAGAACGTGGAATAAATCTGAAAACTGTATCGAATAGACGATTTTCAGTAGCTCAATAGGGCCTCCGAGTTATGTCACATGAATGACTCGTATTGTCTGCCTGTTTACGTTGCCTGAATAGCGGCCACATTGTTTCGTTTCGCACGCGATGTATGACGGTCAAGTTGTCACACGTCCGTGATTCCTACATTTTCTACACGGAAACGTAACGCGGACTCTCATTCGGTTTTATCGCGGTCGAACAATTTCTCATCGCGCGACAAAATTATTGAATTATTTTATAAAACTTTTAATAATTTATTATTATAAAAAATGTGTTTTTGTCTCATTATCATTTATTTTAATAAATTAGCCTCAAATATAGTCTAGATAATATTCTATACCGATTTATTATAAATACGAAATGTTTTTTGCATTAAAAATTGTTTATATGACATATATTTATTTATAATTCATCATGTGTACATATGTAGTATTTTTTATATTGTTCAATGACTTCCAGCTAAATTTTGTTAGTCACATTTTGCATCTGTTTTAACATAGTTGATACAGGATAAGAGCACAACTTGACGGGGAAACTGTCAGCATTAAGAATACGTAGTAGCGAGTACAAGAATAAGGACGCCGTTTGCGAAGTCGTTCATCTCGTTACGAAATGTATCCGAAAGTTACACACGTTTCAGCTAAACTACTATTCCTCCAAAGAAAACTAGCTTATCGAGTTATCTCAAAGCATTCGTGCGTGACGAAGGTGACGATACCAATTCTAGGCTCCTATCTGTCTTTTGTCTAAAAATCTATTTACAATCTATAACTGTCATTGTAAATAGATTAGATATGTATGCGAATCTCCAAATTCAGATTTCTCTTTTTAGCATATTTGTGTAGAATGAGATAATGCAATTTCGAACATGATACAATTTTGACCGAAATAAGATTTGAATCCATTTTAAAAGTCGCAAGTTTGGTTTTATTTTGTTTGGCGGTACTCTTTAGTACCCTCCTCACAATAAGATTAGAATTACCAAACCTAAATCTTGAAATTGGATTTGGATTTTGTTTTGTTCATGAACACAGAATTGTATCATGTTCGAAATTATACTATCTTACCCTGCATTCACAGTTTTATAATTTTCAGTTAATACTTTGCTAACTTTGTTACACACATACACACACTTTAAACATCAAAAGAGTAATGATAACTTTTGAGTTAAATAACGTTTCATTATTTTGCATTTCCATGTAGCTCAAAATGTAAATCAATCTATTTCTATTGTTTCAAAGTAAACAACATCCATATTAACGTATACACTTAGTAAATAATAAATTCGAGTCAAATTTAATACATTTTCTTTTAGTTAAATTATTTATCTACTTGTTTTATTGTTGGGGTAGAATTAATGACATATTGGATAAGAACAGTTACGATCTACAAAAATAATTAAAAATAATTCAAACCGATTCTGATTTAACACTATAAATTTCAGAGAGTACATACAATGTACACATATACATATAAAGAAACATGGAATCTGTATATCTCTCAAAAAATTATATAACATTCTATATTTTGGGTTGTTTTTGATATATAAAAACAAATTAGTTTTCCAGTAAAACCTTGTAATTCAATTATAATTTTTGTTATTATTGGCAACGCTCAGCAGAACGTTCGTTTTGCAACTATTAGAAGTTTTCTTCTCATTGATTGGATTATACTTTTAGATTTAGAGGAATGGTCCTATTCCAGCAGACAATCATAAAACAGTTGCAAAACTGTTCTGCCATCGATTTATTTTTATAGCAAAAGCAGCGTGATATAATAGATTATGTAATGCTTGAAGTTATATGTAGATTCCATATTTCTGAACATCTCTTTCTTTATTCATATCATTTAGTAACGATATATTAAGAGAATTCACACGGATGAATTTCTCATTATACGTTATAACGTAATCTTGGCTTACGTGAAGATCATCTGACTGTGATTCGAATAATTGAATGTCATAATTAACATTAAATTGTCAGTCATATTAAAATCATAATCTTTCTTCCTCGAGACGGAAACTCAATTGTCACTACAGTAAACTGACATGAGTATGCAGTGATAATAGCAAATAATTCGTAATAATTCTCTCATTGAAGAGAAATTACAAGAGAATTCTAGAGATTAAACGATAAATTCGTCATTTGCCAACCGACGATCTATCAAAATAGACAAATCGAAAAAAATTTGCTCTAACAATTTTTCATTCCTTCGTGTTTCAGTTCAAGGTCTCGCAACCCTGACAACACCATCGCTATGTCTTTTGATAGCTGCAGTATTACAACGATTTCTGCTGCCTGTGTAGAATCTTCCGGCGCGATGAGGGCATCAAGCTGGCTAACGCGAGAGAAAACAATAGGAAAGCGGATCACGAAGGAAGGCGAAGAACGACCAACGTTTCGTGACGAAAGACAATCATATCTTAATACGAAGCGAACTGCGACGAGAAATCGAGGGATTCACGTTAGACTTGTCGATCGTTATCGCAACGGCGAACAGCCACGTGTCTTATGATTTTTGCACGTCGTCGCTGCGCCTTCTCGTTAGACCGAAGGAAAATAAGCATATTGATCCGCTCGTCGTTACTCTCGAGAATACCCCCATCTCCCCGATACGTATAAAATTCTAGATAGTCTAATTAACTACGAAAGAAAATATGCGATAACCAAAGTGGGCATCCACAAAGTTCTCGCACGTGCGAGGAACTCCTCCTTGACGCTCGTCTATTCTGTTAGGATCGATATCTGCGTCGTTACTCGTGAAATAGATTCAAATCGGCCGCACTCAGGGGTTCGAACTTTCGATAACGAGAAGGAACTTTTCGAACTTTCTACTCCTTAACGATATAAGTTGGAAAATGAACTGATTCTATAGCCATAAAATAAAATTTGAATAAAATTTCATTAACAAATTATTATGGATTTAACAGAAATTTCAAATTAGAATCAGTTGATACTATTATATAAAATGAAACATTGATTTCTTACTTTCTTCGAAAGTTCGAACCCCGCATAAATCTTTATTTTTTGTTAGTAATTCACAAAGAAGTGCAATCAAACGGAATCATGGATGAAGAATGAGATTTCATGCCAATAAAGGGAAGAAAAATAAGTATTGTAATTTAATATTGTACCAGAAATAACACTCGCGAGTTGATTAAGAATTTAAAGTCTACAGCAAGAAAATTTAATGAGCTAAAAATACATTCAGATAACGATTTCAATAACGACATATATCGATTCCTATATTTTTTCGTCACAATATGCAATTTTCATCATAATGCGAGACTTTTGACATTTGCGATATTTTTCCGTTGAAATAATAATCATGCAAATCCATATTTCATTTCTGTTCCTTTCTCTTATATTTGAATCATAAAAATAGTTAAAATATATATAACCTGAATATAAAAGGACAGAAATGGCAACGTATACGGAAAAAAATATCTCGGGGAAGTAGCTTTAAAAAACGATACATAATTTACCGAGCATATTGCAAGTTTTTAATTTGCAAATTTTCCCGTGATATAATGCTACGAAATTTTTACTACCAGGAGAAATCAGTTTGAAAGCGTCGAGAACGTTGTACCTCAGGGTTCGAAAACCTTCTCAGCGTGATACCGTTATCGGTGATAACAGGCGCAGCAGTCGTCGAGATGCAATCGTTATCGATTGTATACGTGCCGCGGCCGAGTGTAAATATATACAACAAGGTAGGCACAAATTTCCATCGAACCCCGTCGTAAGCTTCCTTCATTCTAATTATAACTTTTAATTGATACGTGTAATTAAAATAATAAGCCCGGAAAAAAACGGATCTCCAATTGCACGGTCACCCTCCCTTTTTGCTGCATAATACATTATCACGCCAAAAGACCCACTAAATGGATAAGTGCAAAAAAGAGAATCTTACCGCCGCGCTCGGGTGGACAGTGTAATCCAGAATTGCATTTATTATCACAGAAAAGAATATCGTTACAAAATCTTGAAAGAATTTATTCATCGTTATATTAGAGAATGCTTGCTTCAGTTTTTGTCGTTATTGTTTCATGTGTCCATAAGTCATTCGAGAATTATTAAAATTCATATTATATTTAAAATCGAAAACGTGATAAACACCGTAGTTCGTAGTTGATCGAATTGAAAAAAAAAAAAACAAAGCGAAATTGAAAAAGTATTCATATATCAACTGAATGTTTTATCTAGAAATATTTTGGAAAACATTTAATTATTTTATATATTTAACTTTTATGAAAAGACAAAATACACAATATGTATTCAAACACTAGACGGTAATTTATTTATAATTTTGTGATGGTTGGTTAATCGATTACAGATAATATCAATGAACATAAATTCATGGATAGGCAAATAAAAAATCATAGTCTTGTAAAAAAATTAAGGAGTCCATTGGTTTGCTGTTTGCCCTAGGCATTTTAACACCTGCGAGATCATACAAGCGTATAAAATGCGTAACGAACATCAGCGCTGCAGTATGCGCGAAGTGTTTATTTTTTTTTTTTTATCGCGTAAACACACACATGTATATAAACATATATGCACGAAACGGTAGCAGCCGCCATCAACGATCGCGAGCGATCGGAAAATATGATTCATACGCGTAAGCCGATTAATTTACAAAGTTCAACGTACACACGGCTGACGTAGATATTTATACAGGACTCTCCGCGGAAATGCGTTATTTTTTCACCCGAGATTAATAGTTGTTATATTTCCGCGTCCCGCTGTGTTTTCGCGTGTCTCGTTGGTACAGTTGCGCGTCGTCGCGATCGACACGTCGACTAAATAAATACATGTTCACATAATATATATAATAATCAGAATTTCGGAGCGTCAAAAATTTATTACATCTGCAGTTGATATCAAGGTCTCAACGAAGTGAATTCGCATCCAGAATTGGAACGTTTGTCTTAACGAGAATATGAAACGAGGGGATATTCACAGACTATACGATTAAGATACCGTTCATTAAGATTTAGTTAACGCTTCCAAATGGACGACTTGATAAAATATTCAATTCGAACTCCGGGTGAAACGAGCGATATCGGTCTTTGCCTTCATCGCGAATACAATCATCTTCCATAATCCACGGAAAAGCCATTCGTATAACTATATGCGAAACGATATCTACATAATAGCCATCAAACGCATTTTCGCATGTGATTTGCGTCGTTAGCCTTATTACCGCAATTTTCAGTTATTCGAATTTCCAGCTTGTATCGAAAATTTCATGACAAAATGTGATATTGGTAATGAAGCGTACTGGAGTGTTATATACAACGCGTTTAGAAATAACATTATTGTTCTCTTCGTTTCGATTTTCCTCGACGCGCATAATATCGATGGCAACATGCAACAAATATGACCATTAAGCTCTTCCAGTTCCACGCTTTTTCGGAATCGATAACTTCCTAGATAACAGTAGCAAGACCTCGTGATCATGGGACTGTGTTTGCAGGATGCGCCACGTTTATACGGAGGAGTCGCGTGAAACAGGAATGGGAATAAGCGACTCTTCGTTTATAGCAATTTCGTGCTCAATATTGTGCCCGGTTTGTCGACGAATGTTGAGTCGAGTGCAAAGCAAAATGCGTTTTGGCGGATAAATACAATTTGCGAGATAAAAAAAAAGATTGTTCTACGTACGATTTTTAACAAGTTACAACGCGCGTGTGGAAGGTTCTGCATGATCAGGGTGTCTCTTTGGCATGCAAAAGACCCGTCGGAACTTTAAGGTGGAGTTTCGAGTTGGGAATTTATCATTAATTCTCAGCAACGTGCTGCGTCATGGCTTAAGAAGGTAATACGTCATCGCAACAGGACGAAGGTATACATATACCGTATTAATTACGCATATGTTTAATAGTGTATCACACTGTACATTTATTTGGTCCAATTTCTTTTTTTATGCGGTTCGTAATTACTGTCACGTATGTGTTTAGCGCAAATAGATAACTATTTTCCGATATATTATGTGGATAAGCGCTTTGATATCCAGATAACGTAAAAAGCACAAAATTTTCTTTTCGGTTTGAATTATTAATACTGATTAAAAATTGAAAACAGAGCGCAGAAGATATGAATCATTAAATACCGAAAAGTTTTAATAATCACTCCGACGTTCTGATTTTAATACGTAAATCAGCAAAATTCGCAAATAATTATCATCTTAATACGTTTATCACACAAAAGAGAGATTGTTTAAATGATGAATGCAGCCAGACGTTTTAATACTTCATGTGATAGAGAAATTTTACTGATGGTGATGCATAAACTTTGAATAACTTATTATTCACTGTGACTATTTTGGACCTCCAATTATCACACTTTGCTATATGTATGGTTAATAAATTTCGTTGACACGGTTAAACGCACTCGACGTACAAAAACTGTACATAGCTGATACGTCTTTTCTGATTACGACCGGAGAACGCGAGGCACTTGATATTTACATATTCCGGCAAGCTTTAGCTTTTCGTTTGCTTTGAAGTTGGACGGCAGTATGTTTTGCGTCTTATCGGGGACATATCTCCGATATTTACGGCGGCGTTGGCCGAGCAAAGAATTGTACATACCCTTGTATATAACTGCGCTGTAATATATGATAGTAAAGGAATACTCTTGAAAAGAGGACTGAAGGACTTCGCATTTCAGAAGTGTGTGATTAAACGGACGCGGGGATGTCAATCTTACGTCCGATAGGAAGATAACGGATATTTAGCCATATTGTGAAAGTGTTCAAATGGCGAGTCCCGAATGTCGCGGGACATCGCCAGTACAGATAAAGAATATACGCGAGAACGCGCAAAAAACGCGCCTGTATCTATCTTCGCTCGTGAGGCGAGACGTGTAGTTATTGAATGAGAAGAAAAAATAAAGACGATGTACTCGGTGTTAGCTTTCAGTTGTAACGAGCTTCTGGATACACACACACACACAACACACATACACACGTACACACACATACACAGAATAAAAACGCCGATGCGGAAATAAATATATGTACCTCTGTACACACCTGTGTTTTTAAGGCGGTAAACGCGCGAGAGGCTCTTCGCCGTCGTGACGACGAAGAATCAAGCGTGGGCGCGTTCCGCTCATTGAGAATCAGGAGCCTACGAGAAAGATTATGTTCTTATGTGTATGGCCTAATGTATATATCTCGCGAATTTAGTAATAAATCATATTTCATTATATCCATGGCTTTTATTTACCCCGAAAGCCCACAAATTAATATCGAAAAGTGTCATGTAATATTGATTTTATTGCTAGAGTGATGATATATATATATATATTCTTTCTTTATAATTTCAGATCGCGCAAAAGATAGGATTAGTCCAAATCAAGATTAAAAACGATCGGTCTTCCATTACAAAAGACAGTTTAAGCCGCGGATTAATATAAAGTCGTTATTTTTTATTCCGCCAATAAACATGACGCGAACGCGAGCTGATGTTGACGCATATGCATGAAACTATTATTTTCCCCTCGCTCTAACTCCACTTTCTGAAACAATTCTGCCAAAAAAAAAAAATAAAAAACAACTACTCGCGAATCGTTCGAGAGCCGATGGACCTCGATGAAGAATAAATGCGTCAGGAAATCGCGATCCTTCGTGTTCAGGGATAATAATTGGACGCAGCCGGAAGAATA